GGGGCGCACCATTGTCTCCGCCTGAATGGCAGATTATAGGGTTTGGCCTTTTGGCCATTAAATAGCAGTGGCTTTATTTTTATTTTAGCCACACAACACCAGGGAAAAAGAGGTAATTGGATTAAATTGATGTTCTTCCTTCTGGGATTCAGCAAAGCCCACAAACGCCTCCTTAAAGTGATAGAATATCGGGTCGTTTCCAGGACGCGTCTTTCCAAGGCGCTTTTCTCCCGGCACAAAGGCCCGGGAGCCCATCACCCTGCGCCGGGCCAAGTGTGCCCGAGCAGGGACAGAGGAGGGGTAGGGCGCTCTGCTTGAGAGGGCAAGTGCTTCTGCAAGGCAGGGAACCGCCGGCTGCCCAGACCCCCCTTCTGTAAACACAAAGAAAGGGGGCCTGGGGAATAGAAACCCAAATCCACTTGTAATCGTACAAGAGAATCGGGCGTAATTACTTGAGCAACCTAGATGAAGATTGATGAGGCTTTAAAGCGGCGTTTCGGATCGATCACCCTGCCCTTTGGAGCCTCCAGCCGGGCTTCCCCGGCTCGGATCGGCTCCTTTCCCACCGCCAAGGGAGGGAGAGAAGATGGAGGCGAGACTGGGAGAGCAGCAAGGCAAGCCCGGCGCATGTGATTCCGATCAGCTGACTGGGGTCAAGAGGCTACCTCGGTTTATTAGGAGATGGAAAACAATAAAATGAAAGAAAATAGAGTTTGTATCAATATTATCCCGTCCGCCACGCTGGGCTGCTGAAAGCTGTCACTGAAACTGTGCGTTTTAGCTTCCTCCTGTACGCACACCAATTCCTGCCTTCCTCTTTATTTATTTTGCAGCGTAAATGACAAAATATTGAGCAATAAGGGCTCAAATTGGGTGTTACAGTAAAGTAAAGCATTAACAACATGACAGTTAGATGCGCCGATACAGGAGTAATTTGGGCTAAGTGAGTAATTTGAAGTGCTGCCTGCGAGAGCTGGTAGTGAAGTGTGCGGGCAGTGCTGGGGGAGGAGGAGAGGGCGCATCCGAGGCGCTGGCCCCGGTGCGAGCCGCAGCCCCGGGCTCGGCTCGGCCGCCCCAGCGCCCGCACGGCGCTGCTGGAGGGGTGAGCGGCCGGGAAAGGCAGCGGGAGGCTCACGACTCTCTGCCCTCTGAGCAGAGGTGCCCTTATTGCAAGGGACATTTTTTAGCTGCGTGTAACAGTCAAACCCTGTTTAGTACCTCCTGAGATGGTCAGTTGGCCAGTTTCTAAAAGGCGCATCAGTCAGGTGACGTACCCACCTTCTCAATACTGGAGTTTTATTATTTATGTGTCAGATGCGTGTTTGTACACGTATGTGGCTCTGTGTGTTTATGTATGTATATATAAATTATCCCACAGGCTTTCGTGGGATAATTAAATCTAGAAGAATATTTAATACATAATATTTTCTTCGAAGCAAGTGAGCTTCCTAAGCACGGCCACTGTCAGCTTTAACAGAAGATGGCATTGATATTGAAGATGAGATGGTGAAACAGCGATCTTCTTGTCTTTTGGATTAAAGAAGGGTTGTTTTGATTTTTGTTTTCCTGAGTTAAAATCTAAAAATTTGTGTGGAGAAGGCTGCCTTTTACAATAGGTTTTCCCCATCCCATCTTTTCAATGCCCGTGAAAGCGTCTCGTTAAGGAATATATTTGAGCGAAGTATTGTTGTAGTAATTTTAAAAGGATAAGCGGCAGCGAGTTGAAACAAAATTTATCGTGCCGTAAATGTATTTAACAATGCTAGCCTTTATGCGCATGGGGTATTGAAATAGGTGACAAAAAAAAAAAAAAAAAAAGGGGAAAAAAAAACCAAAACCCAAACAATTAAACAAAACCCCTTGGTATTTGGATTTACTTGTCCGAGTTGAGGTCTGGATCCAGACTTAAAAATAATGCCCCCAGGGCTCGCAGGGTCAGTGTGGCGGGCAGGGGCTGCGGGCTGCCCTGCGCTGCGCCCCCGGCCCGGCCCGGCCGCCGCGGGGACCCCGGGCTGCCAGATCGAAGCGGTGTGGAACGAGCCGCCGCTATCGCACATAAACAGTGATAGCGTTAACGAGGAGCAAAAGGGCATGAAAAGAGAGGGGACCTTCTTCTAAAAGGCAGCTATTTTTCACCCTAACCCCTCTGAATTTCGCTGCTGTGATTTATCTCGCAACCCCGGAGCTCACAAACTCGCTTGTGCCCCGGCCGCGGAGTTCAAAGCGCTGGCCGCGGGCAGGAGGGGAATGAACACGGCGTTTACAAACTGGGTTTACGAGGGGGCTCGCCGGGCGCTGGCTCGGCGGAGGGAAGGGCCACCGGGGATGGGCCGGCCGGGCGCCTCCAACCTGACGCCGCTGCCCTTGCCTTGCAGGCCCCGTGGTCCTCAGCACGCCGGCACAGCTCATCGCCCCCGTGGTGGTGGCCAAGGGGACGCTCTCCATCACCACCACAGAGATCTACTTCGAGGTGGATGAGGATGACTCGGCCTTCAAGAAGATCGACCCCAAGGTGAGTGCGGCGTGCGGGCGGGCGGGCGGCGCGGTCTCGGTTCCTGTCCCCGATCCCGGCACACGTGCGCCGGGGCCGCCCCCTCATTCCAAACTCCGCTCCTGTCTGCCGCCTTTCGCTGCATTTAAAAAAAAAAAAAAAAAAAAAAAAAAAAAGCGCAATGTATTAATGATGTTAAATCCTCTATTACGGCAGCGTACGCGTTTTCCAGCAGCCTTTCTCGCGGTGCCTTTGTATGAACGTGGTCAGATTTAGTAGTTAAGCCAATTGCTCTGAAATCCCTGGAGGGAGCAGCAGTCCTAGCCCGCAGCCTTCCCGAGACACAGCGGAGGGTTTTACGCCTTCCGAGGTTCTCGGAGAATCCCGTTTTTTCAAAAACGTTAGTTTCTACGTAAAAAAATACGGCGCATTTTGTAAACACTTTGTAACTGCTGAAATGAAAGTTAATGCTTGTTTTCTGGGGGAGAAAAGAAAAGGGGGGAGGGGGGAATAGACATGTACCGAGGACTTGGTTCCTGGGAAAGCTCTGGTTTTTTCTGAAGTCATTTACTACTACCAATTCCCCAGCGCCGCCCCACTTCCCCCTCCCTTCCGTGAAAACCTCCAGCCCAGCCGCAACAGAGCAGGGAGGGGTGCGTGAGTTGAGCGGAAACCTTTGCGTGGCTTTCTCCCCGCGGGAACGGCGCGGGGGATGCCACGCGGGGGAGGAGGGGGCAGACAGAAGGGACGTGTCTAACAGGGCGCTCCTCTCGTCTGCATGTCTTTTTATTCTTATCGCTCTTGCTTTATTCCTTTGCTATTGCTCTGGAAAATGTTGGAAGAGAGGAAATAGGAGAGGTACTTTTACAAAGACCTTGGGGTTGGGGTTTTTTAATGCAGAAATATTATAAATAATTTCCAAGAAAACTCCTCGTCTGAATATGTTTGCAATGAAGTGATTTCTCTTCGGTGAATAATTTGTCAAACTCGGAACTTTCTTCGCAGTGCCGGGGTAAAAAGTTTCTGTCAGAATCTCTGGGTATAACAGTTTCGCTAAAGTGCACCCACTGGAAATAGCTGCTAGTGGGTGTCACACAGGAGATCGGCCTCTTTCAGCACTTGTTGACTATTAGGATCCTTGTCAAAATCCGCGCTGTTAAATTGCGTTTTGATTTAAAAGCCATTTTAAAGAAATGCACCCTGAGAAGGACCAGGCAGTGTGATACAGACAGGCGGCTTTGGATTGCGTGCAGTTTTGTAAGCACGCACATGTTATTCCCTCTGACTGCCCTGGGAGCTGAGGGGCTTGATTGCTGGGACTGGAACTGGCAATCTTATCACATTCGTAACGGATTTGTAGGTCAGAAGTAATATTGTTGTTCACTTTATTGGTGCTGGCTCTCACCTATGAATTTTATTTTCTGCTTTATTAGTACCTGCACCAAATTGCTAGTTGTGTCAGGATCGCTGCTTGCTAAAAACACTGCTTCACAGATACGTTGTGTTTCCTCGGCTTTGTTCAAAAGCCAGCAGAAACACAACAGCACCGTACAATAAACCCTTCAAAACAGACTTCTTTCCTGACGGCTGAAAAAGTGTAACTGTATTAATAAGTACGCTGGTGTCTGACAGCTGCTGATGGTGATCTGGAGTTAAATTCCAATATGCTTGTACAACCAATATTTCCCTATTCTACAAAACTATTCCAAATGCAAAGTCAGGACTCTGCCCTAAAGATTTCTGCTTTACAGGACTTAAACAACTATGCACAGAAAGGAAAAATCCGCAAAACATAGCTGCCTCTTGTTTTTCAAGTGAAAAACTTGATCCGATATTGAAACGCTTACCCATATGCATTTTACTTCATTTATTAGCTTGTAATTAAATAAATCAGCAACAGAAATTAAAATCTAAATCACAAAAAGTAATTATCCAGTGTATTTCAAGTGCATTTTCAAATATATAATTCCAATATTCAAGCGTTATTATATAAGCAGAATCCAAATTTCTTTTGAATATATTTAAATAACATTTCAAGTATATTTATGGAATGTTAGAAATAGAACAAGCAATATATATGAAACGAGAAATGTAAACTTGTTAAGTTCAGACACTTCAAAAGACAATTAACAAAAGTACCGTGATAAAATCTACCTTTTAAAATGGTATCTTCTTTTTAGCAGAAAATGTCCTTGAAGTATCCAAAATGGCAATTTAACTTCTGTTCACCAAATCACAAAACACCAACATCCACAATTTCAAAGACAATGTGAGATCACAATATTTGATACAAATTAAAAGGTACATTAGGGTTTGTTCAGGTGGCATATCCAAATAGCTTTTACTCACAGAAGGTTTACATAAAAATACCGGGTTTTGTTATAATCCGTTGGTACCGTTTTTAGGCAGAATGGTCACAATCAAATTACGGCCAATTTTCCTTTCCAGGTAACACACTTTCATTTTTTCATTTTTTTTCTTTCTTTTTTTTTTCTTTCTTTTTGTTTTTCCCCCACGGGGAACTGCAAAACTGTGACGAAGAGGAATGATGCTTGCTGTTCTCATTTGCTTTTCTTTGTGAGGAGCCTAAGCTATATTCCTTTTTAAAAGAGAATATTATTTGCATTGTCAAGTGGAAATATATGACTTTTCAAACAGGCATCTTAAACTTCATCGGGAAATTAGCAGATTTATCGGTCAGGCCGGTTTTATAGTTACTCTCTAAAGTTTCTCCAAACTTTTCGGGTTGGTAAGTATTTCCCTAGCCAGTCGCCACGTTTGTTTGGCCGCGTTTTCCAGGGCCGAGTGAGGTTTGCCCTGAAAGAGGTCTAAGTTGGGCAAGAAGTAGTGCGGGCACCTCCGGCACTGGAGGCACGAGATGAGCTGCAGTAAAATCCCGTTGAGCCGGTCCCCCAGGCACGACTCGTCCCAGTCCGATTCGCGGGGATGCTTTTCGCATTCGTAGGAAACCAGAGTCTTCATGTGATAATTATTCAGGGGCTGGCCCGGCAGCTCCAGGTGCCGGTCCCGTAAGGTTTTGAGGATGGAGAGGCATTTCTTCCTGCAGCCGCCCATCTGCAGTCTGTTCTCAGCTTCCGCGAACTGCAGCACCCAGGCATCGCTCTCGGCCGAGCTCTGCTTGCCGGCCAGAGAGTGGCACTCCTTGGACAAGAGGTTGAAGCCTTCCGCCTTGACCTCCGCCACCCGGTTGGGTCCCGGCCAGGGGATGTGGGGAAGCGGCCAGTGCGCAGCACTCCGCGGCCAGATCCCCGTGCACTTGAACGCTGGAGTGATCTGCACGACGTACCGATCCCTGATCCTCAGCTTCACCTCGCTGGTGTCCGCCACCATCTTTACCACGTCTCTGTAACTGCACTTATCCACGGCTTGAGCCACCAGAGTCTGGAATCTGGACCGGATTTTGCGAGCGGAGAGGTAGCCAGACGCCGTGATGAACTCCACCCAGAGGGACATGCTCCTCTTGCGCCCGTCGCTTAACTTTAACACAGCGCAGCCCGGCAAGGAGCCGTCGTCCACGAAGTTGAAAACCCCCATTTGGTTCAGATACAGCACGACTTCAAACTCCGTGGGGGAGATGACTTCCAGCCCCTCGTAGCGATTGTCCATCTCGTTCAAGGAACTGATGAAGCGAGGCTCCTGCACCTCCACCTCCTTCAGCACGTCCGACACCACTTTGCAGACTTCTCGGATCGTTTTGGCGATTGCAGCTTTCCTGGCTTGGCATTTCTCATTGTAGTATTTATTCAAATGATACACCAGCTTGGCCTGGGCCGCGATCATGTTGGGGCAGAGATCCGGATTGTATACCGGAGTCTCGCAATAGGCTGTGGGATCCAATGCGGCTGCTATGGCTGGAGCCAACTTCAGAGGAGAAACAGGCTGCCGCACTCTGAAATGTAACAAATGTTTTTCAAAATGCGCCGGGGCTGCTGCTCCTCAGATGCTCTCTTCCTGCTTTTTTAGATCAGCCGTCTTGAAGTGTGTGTGGCGGGGGGGTGAAGGGAGGGGGAGCGGGCGGGGGACTGGAGGGGGCGATATTTTTCCTTCCCCTTTTTTTAAAGGGTCCGTGAGTGAGAGGAAAGCATCGAGAGCAGCACCTTTCCCAGCAGCAAGAAAAAACAAAAGTTGCACTGAGACACAGCGAGGGTTCCAGTAGTCAAAATAATAAAACCTCTTCGTATTTATTTATGTTTTCCCGTAGTAATCACCGTGTGTATGCAGGGCGGTTAATCAGATGGTGGAAAAAAGTGCCGTGTGTGTATGTCAGAAGAAGCTGGCTGTTGGTTTGTATAAGAGCCCAGATGCACTCGTGTGGAAATTATAAAGGCAGGGCCAGGCAGGCGGGCGGCCAATCGCCACTGGGCTCGTCACTGCAGCCTCTTTCAGCTCGAACCCGGCTAATTAATCCCTCTCTAGGAGATAGATATGTATACACAGCCACACGCACACACACACGCACACGCAGGCACATATAGAAAGGTAGAAGGTTACCGGCTAGAAAGCCGCCCCGGTCCTCTGTACACTCGGAAATCAAGAGAAATCGCTCTCCTTTGGGTGTAACTTGAAGGGTATTGACGTTTCGAGAGGACTTGGCAAAACTGTGCCGCTCCGTACTGAATCCCTGCGTGCCTCCTCATGGCCGGGACGTGAATGCAGGTGTATTAATGGGCATCCATCAACTAGGGAGCTACAGACCGGGCTCGCTCAGGCAGGAGCACAGGCGTAAATTCATTAACCCCCACTCGGCGTCACATCACGCTGTCCTTTTCCTCCTGATAGTTATCTGTAACTGCAAGCGAGAAGTAGGTTTGGAATTTTTTTTTTTCTCTCGTGAACCGGCCAGTGAACAAGGCAGCGGATTCACGGCAAATTTAGTGTTCTTTGGAATAAAATATTGCTCAGAAGTCCACGATTTGTATTGTTTTAAAGGATCTTCTGACGGGCTCTAATCGATTTCGAGGTTTAATGCATTTCGGCATTGTCTCTGACTTGCTTTTTGTATTTGTACCTTATGAAGGGAGAATCAATCGCTAAACATATCTGTCAGGTCTTTTTCACGTCCCTTCCAAAAATCAAGTAGCAGATAGAGACGGTAAATCTCCTTTGCCAATTCTTAGCGTCGTTTTTATATTCTGTATTGCTCTCCGATATGTTGTGAGGAGTGGATGTTCGGCTGCTTTTCGAGACGCACTATAAGTACCTATTAATTTCAAACCTGGAGGATTTATCGTACAGCGAGCTGTGTTAGCAAGCTGCGCTTAGTAAATGTGCACACGGGAGGCACGCTAGCGACTGCAAACATGCTGGCTTGCTTGTCTGACAGTTTGGGGTTTCGCCTGTGTGATGTGTAATTAGCAAATTTCGCCTTCGGTACTTTAAGTGTTGGTAATCGGGACATTTATTTGCAAATAAGCTGGAGTGGTAAGCTCTTCTGCTTCACAGCATTTACTGAGCTTCACTTCAAGAGAGCCCTAAATTATATATATATATATATATATATATATATATATATATATATATATATATGGAAAAAAACCCCAAAAAAAACCACACCAAAGCTTTTGATGGCTTGGAATCTTTAAACTACTGACCCATTAACTTTTCCTAAAGTGACTGTCACGGGCATATCAGTCGCTGAGGAGAAGTCATACCACAAAGAACATTTCACGACATTTATTCAGCGTACGAATGCGACCAACTTTATTGCACATAGCGGAGGATTTGTGACCGCGCGCTTGGCTCCCTCGGTCTAGCGGTTGTATGGGTGTTCCCGTGCCGCTCCCGAGGAGGAAGCCGACCGGAATCCTTTCCTGCTCATGAGTTGAGCAGCGCTGGTGCTGTCGCTGAAAAACTGCAGGTGACCGGTCGTCTCGAAGCAGCTTACCTCTTCTCGGCCGCAGCCGGGAGAAGGGAGATCACTTTCTGGCTCTTTGGGGCGGAGAGGAGGCAGTCTCCTCCCGGGCTTTCTCCCTCTTCCGCTCAGTTTCCCGGCCGGGACACGCGTGCCTCCCCCCGGCCGCGCTGGGACCGGCGGCGGCAGCGGCGCAGAGCTCCCGGTCCCGGTGCCTGCCGAGCCGCCGCCGAGGAGCGCTGCCGCCGTCCCTGCGCCGGCCCGGGGCTGCCGCCTCCCTCTCTCCCTCCCTCTCTCCTCCCCTGCGGGGCGGTGGCGTGCGCGGCCGCGGCGCTACAAGCTCGGGGGCCGGCCGCCCCAGCCTTCCCGGAGCAGGCGCTTCCAGGAGTTCGGGCTAGCTCCGAGGGCACGGGCGGGCGCCTCCTCGCCGCTCCTACCGGCGGTTGCCCCCGGCTGCGCGGGCAACCTGCTCGGCGGCGGGGGCGAAGGTCGGCCCTCTTCCCTCTTCCCTTTTCCCTCTTCCCCCTTCCGCGGGGGCCGGCGCACGCAGTGGCGGCTCGGCGGCACCGCCACCGGCCCCGGCGGCGGGCGGGGAAGGGGAGGCACCTCTCGGGCCCGGCACATCCCGCCCCGCTGCCCCAGGATGGGGCCCGGCACGACCCAGCCCGCCCCTCGGGCCCGGGGGCGATGCCGGTCGCGCCGTGCCCTCAGACCCGGGGCGGCCTTGGCCGCAGCAGGGCACGGCTGGGCTGTACACAGGAAGGAAAAGCGCTCAAGTCGGGACCAACTCCGGCAGACGTGTCCCGGGGACCGACTGGTGCGGGGGAAGGCCCGCGGCGGCCCCAGTCCGGCCCCGGCTCCCGCCCCGGGCGGCGGCCGCTGCTCCCGGAGCCGTCCGGCTCGACACCGCCGGCGCTGCCGTGTCGGGGGCGGCTTCTTTGGGATGGAAATGTCAAAGAGCCCCTTTCCCACAGGGTCACAGAGCAGCGCCGGGTAAAACCGAAAGTTACAGCAGGCGGACAAAAGGTTGTCCCTTCTTCCCTTTCAGCCGAGGGAACAGCCCTTTCCTGCGGTGGGGGCACCCCTCAACTTCCCAGGGATGCAGGAGCCTCAGAGCTGCACGTTAGCGGTGGGGATGTTCCGGGCCAGGTTTTGCTTGGTTTTGCCCCCTGGGTTTTAGCTTGGCAATTCCAGCTGCCAAAGGCAAAAGTGGAAAGGTCGTACCTTTAAGCTGTCAGAAGTCATAACATTCATGACGTGGCAAAATTAATTTAAGCAAAAATTACATCTTAGATACTAAATAAGAGTTTTCAATGTGTAGTGCTTAGATTAAGCTATGATACCAAGTAATGCAAGGGTTATACGTATTCATTGTATCTCGATTGCTATGAGAATTATTAGATTTAGGCTTGATTAGGTGACGTTTAACACTGAAGGTCACTATCAACTCCACTCCATCATTTCATTTCACACACCAAACATTTAATAGTTTATAAATTTGTATTTTTAGGCATCACAGACACCACTGAAATGTGACTGGTGAAGTGACCCAATCGTTTACCATGACAAGAAGTCAGTTTGGTTTAGACGTCGAAAATTATTATCTATATGACTATATATGATATAAAAATATAGATATTTTTCAAAGCTCTGATCACTTCAGTTAATTTTTCTCTGTAGTTATTAATGCATCCTTGGTAAACTACAAATGGAACACCTTTTCAGCAATGAATTTTATTTCTACTGAGTTTATTGAGTATTAAGTTGTTTTGGAAAATCGGGATTAAAGTCGCCTCATTAAAATGATGATTGATCATTTGTCCTGATAATAGTGCCATATGATGTTGGTGACTTTTACCAAACTGCTGTTTTCCAGATATTTCCCTTAATTACGGGGTACTATAACAATATTTGTTGAACTCTGCTTGTTATATCAAATCTTTCAAACTACATTGCCTATAGTGCTCATGTTAGCCAAAAAGCCAAATGTTGTTGAAAATCTGTATTTGCCCCCAACCCCAAATTGCAATTTAGGGGAAAAAAAAAAAAGAAAAAAAAGTTGCCATGCATATAAATTTAACCAATAATTTCTTTTTCATATGGTGAAAAGCGTGAGTTAAAATGCACTTGCAGATGCATATCTACACAAAGGGCTTGCATGGATATCACTTTATATTTCTTATTATATAGTGATAGTTCTTCCACACACAACTGCTCATGAATTTTAAAGTTTTATTTTTTAATATCTGCCAATTGCACTAGGGAGGTAGGAAGAAAAAGAATGAAGCTGAGTTGATTAAATTATTTATCCCTACTGCTGAAGTAAGTTTGAAGGCTCATTGAATGTATCTGATTTCTTGGCTCCTCTTTCTCCCCTTCCCCCCCTCAGTTCTTCCTGGTTATTTCATCCATATCATCCTGCCAGCAACAATAAATTCACTTTTTTTTTTTTCAAGTAAGAAAACTAAAGACAGATATTTGTGCTGGGTTTGCTATATGTGTCACATTTTATAAAATAGGCAGCATCTTTTTTGTGTGTGTGATAGAAGTTGACGGTACCTTCAATTTTCTGTATTCTTATTTTGTAGTTTACTTTTTGCCTCCGCTTTCAAATTTAGGAACAAATGAAAAGTTCAGATGTAAGTTACTATAATGTTTGCAATCTTCCAATTTTAATAAATTTATACACTTCATTGCTAAGACCTGTGGGTATCAAGTTCTGCATCTTTTGGTACACAAGCATTTTTCCTCTGTTGTGAACATTTCTTTGCAAATGTTTTAAATTTTTTTTTTTAGAAATTATGACATAGTCCCTTTTACAGTACACAATTGGCATTCATTAGTGTTAAACTTTATGTGTATGTGTTTGCTTTGTATTAGAAATTAAAGAAAAACATGAAGAGAATTTGCATTACTGTTGGATTTGGTC